AATCACCTAACCATCGATGGACAAAGAGCACCGACCTGCCTCACACCGAGGATGCACATACCACAGTACGTGATACTCCACTAGGAGGACTATACGTTGACAGAAGAAGAAGAAACATAAAAATCTTATCCAGGCAGCTGTATGACTAGAGATTAATTGCTCTATTGTCAAGCCAGGGGCACATCAGCTAAGGTAAGACAAACAGGGCTGAGGCCACAACCTTGTCAGTTTGAGCATACATATTGTTTAAGGTGGCTCCACACTTTTGTAATTAACCAGCAAAATTCGTCGAAACTTTCATATAATGATTATGCAACTATGTACAGTAGATTTTATGAAAATCTAAACATTCCGATAGTTTGGGGACTTTTTTTGAAAAAATACCAAAAAATTGATTTTTTTCATCAATTTTAATATTTTCCAGTTTTTTTTGTGAATGGCATTGTTCGGAACAATAACAATAAGAAAATGAAAAGAAGCGTTTCTAATTAACCCTACAAAATATTCTATTTTATTGCAAAATATGTAACACATGTTACACAAAGTGTTTTTTATTGAATTTGGACGGATAAAAGTGATTATCTAGCTAACAGCAATCAGGACACAAAGATCTATACATATAGAATGGGAAATTGAACAAAATAAACACAATGGCTTTATTATTAATTTATTTTACATTTTACAATCACTTTGATCCGGGTGATAGTTATCTTCCTTGATAAAAATTGGAACTTTTTGCAGATGGATGACATTTACACAATGACAGTTGTCTCTGTTTACATATAACAAAAATGATGGAAATAAATCAAAAATATGATATCAAAATTTCTTTAATAGAACCAAATTACCCTCAGTCATGTACCTGCAAATGTGTAAGCAGGCCTTGCAAGGCTTTCTCAAGGCTCGCCTGAAAGCAGCATCAGATTAATAACTAGGTCCGACCTTATGTAATAAACGAACAACAGTGGTCCGATCGGTTTGACCGTTTAAACGAAAACGGCCCAGGTGTTACTATAATTTGCACTACGATATTGAATGCCCGATACGCAATACGGAAATGACGACACGATGTACAAGCATATTTCGATCAAGATAATTGAGTCTGAGCTGTACTTTTTCCGGAAGTACGTCACGAAAATGGACGCTGATGACGATGTGTGGAGCCACCTTAAAGGTCATTTACTAAAATTGCATTTATCATATAAAAAGGCCAAAGGGACAAAAAGACAACTGTTTCTAACAATCTTTCCTGTCATAAACTACATGTACCTAGCACTATATTTCAGCAGACTACTGACTAAATATCATGACTCTGGGTCTCTTTAGTTGTTCAACAGTCAATTGAATCCTTAAATGAGGTCAAGGTAATATATTTTACCAAACTTTGTAGCCGGCAATCTACTGGTCATATATCATGCCTTAAAGTTTACCCCATTTTTGCCCCTTGTGAGGTCTTTCTTAGCCCCAAGAAAGGGCATGCCCCTTTTTTTCAAAAATCTGAATCATCATCACCCAGGGATATGTCCTTCCAAATTTAGTTGTTATTGCAGGCCTTGTGGTTCTTTAGAAGAAGATGTAGAAAGAAAAGTTTACAGTTGGATGTCATTGGATTGCAATAGCTCACTTGGCTCTGTACATGTGGGAAAGGTAGCTGGAGGCTTTACAGTAATAATGCATGAAAAAGATTGTTCAGCAATATTGAGATTAATATTTCAAACCCATATGATAATTATCCATATGATAATTAAAATATGAAAATTAATCTGGCCAAAAGTTCTTTACCTACAAGTGTAGCAAACCTTCCAGATGGATAGACCACCCATGCCACAGATCACAAACATCAACAGATTAACTGTGAATCTATACTTAAAAACCCAGATTGCACCATTCTCTGACGAAACATAACTTAATTATTACTACAGACATAAATAGCATCCCCTAACATCAGGATACACATAGTTTGAAAGTTGACATCAGGCAATAAATAGCCACACAAATTTGATACTCTGATATCCAATGCATGATTTCAATCCATGTTATTTCCTCATTTCAAGTATAAATCTTGAAAATATTGAGCCATACAATTAACCAGTTTTACACTATCAGCTTTATGAACATAAAAAAAACGTTCTTGGACTGGAATTTGGAATACTATTTAGCAAAGAGAAAATTTTACATGACAATTTATACATTGGTTGTGTCCCTTAAAATAGTCAATGACAGTTTTTTTTTATCAGTGTTGAGGTGTGTTGGCTGGTGCTCTGAGGGGTGGGTCCAAATGCATGGGGTTTTTTTAAAAGAAAATTGGCAGGCTGAAAGGTTTTTTTCTGAAACCCCTTGTCCCATTTGTGTGACATATCTGTTTAATGCATTAATTCACTCCCAACATGGTTATATGCAATGGAAATCATAGGCAATATTTTGATAATTTCAAACAATGTCCTCAATTATAGGTGGTGCCTCAATTGTTCCCTCTTTTCCTGCCTTATAGAATATTATAATTAGTCTTGGACTTGAGGATGATTGAAGTTGCTATAACAAAATAGAGGTGATTTGACCAAAATATATATAACATCTTTACATGAAAAACAAAATATGTGTAGTTCAGGCACAATGTGGCATTATTCTTTATCACCATACCGGGTTAAGAAGAACTAAAAATAAAAGACAACTTACCTCGTTTAAAGTAATAAACAGCACGCACGTTGGCAGAACTTCTGAATTCATGCAGTGAATTTTTGTCCAAAATTTTAACATGTTCAAATTTAAATGGAAAATTGTCACTTTTAACTAAAATGAATAAACAAAAAAGGGTCGTCAAATATGACAGTATGTAAATGGTCGGTTGATACATCTTACTTCCCGCCTGGCTGTTTACGGCGAGTACCTGTTGTTCTGTCGACCTATCAAGATTTTTGACAGCTGTTGGACACTTTTACCGGTGTCTTACCGTATATATGTCAACGCAAACCCATTAAGCAAGGAGAACTGAACAGTTGTACTAAGAATTAAAAAGTAAACACATATCACACATTCCTTTCCGAGACGCCGAATGACTGAGTACGTCTGCCTCGGCAGAATAACTACAAGTTAAATAAGACTGACATAAATTAATGTGCGAGACATAGACCGGAAGTAAACAAAGATACAGACTAAGGTGCCAGGTGAAATTCATGCCGATTTCAGAAAGTACCGGGTGATTGACTATGTATCTTATTTCTTATAATTATGTGAATTCAGTTTTCAATAAATATTGGAAATTTGTTATTCTTACTTCTTTTAGGAAGCTATTTAAAAATGTATGGATAATAGGTGTCTGGACCTGGACAAATAGGTCATTTAGCATGTTCTTGTGTGATTTTAAAACATGTTAAGGGTTGGGGGTTCTCAACAATTTCCATGAAACAAAGTCACCAGGGTTGGCCCAGACCCTGAGGCAACTTCTACTTCAACGTAGCACATCTGTATTCGATTGTTTATGCCTATCAATAATGGGGTTGGAATCTCAACCATTTCAAAGTCACCAAGTATGGGCCTGACCCTGGCGCTAAACCTGGTAGTTTAAAGCATATTTGTTACTTCATACTCATCAATGGTACCAGGGGCGTTTCTAGGATATTTGAAAGAGAATCAAATCGTTCGCCAAAAACATAAAATAATTGTGAAATGCACTAATGTAACGGTTCCTGTCTTGGCGCATGTATATTTTATAGTTAAAGTGTCAGGGTGTTTATGTGTTTAATTAATGAATATGAAAAATTGCCATATTCAATACAATATTAGCAGATTACGATAGGTTTCTTTTGGGTGTTTTTTTTAAAAGGGGCGGGGGTACGCCCATTACGTCCTCACCTGGACCTGCCCCTGGGTACATATGGTTACAGGGTGGCAATCTGAACCATATCCAAATTATGACCAAGAGACTAAGTCCCTAGGGGTGTGGCAAGACCCCAGAGTCAATTCTAACATCATGATTGTTTTGGTCCTTTAATGCCCATTAATATATAATTGTTATGAGCTTGAAAACCTCTCTTGTTTCAAAGTTTCAGTATCGTCCTAGAACTTCTATAGTTTTCAAAGACCATTCTTCAGGAAACATATATGTGTATACCTGTTTCTTTATAATTAAATGTCAAGATTGTTTTAGTTGGTATGTAATGGTTAATATTGTTCAAATGTGTGAGCAATTCAGGCTCTCAAGGCCTTTTGTTACTTGTTGTAAGCAACACTTGTTTTGGAGTCAATTCCAATTTCTCTTCAAAACTGTTTATAATATGCCAAAGCCATTTTTTTCAATGTCATAATAAAATTATGGTCATAGTTCAATTTTTTTTCTTTGACCAAGCATGATTTTTTTAATTATTGGAGTTATATTTAAGTAAATATCATTAATTTGCCAACTCTTATGTCAAAGTCAGGTCAAAACAGCTTCAGGAGCTTAATTGTTTCAATGTCTTTAAATGTAGTATTTTCCAGATCTTTTCATGTGTGAAGGTCACAGATGAAAACGACAATTCACACGGACAAAGATCTTTTAATTGTCGAAGAAATTTTAATGCCACTTTCTGCACTTCTCTATGCATTAACATTACAAGGCAGTGTGCAGTGACTTTATACCTCTTCATGAAATTTTCAGCACTTAATCAATGATTTATGCACCCTTTTTCCCAAACACCCTCCATTCTTGACTTCTCTGTTAACAAATGGTATTTGTATCACTGTACAGCTTTGCAGTCTGACAAGACTGTTTTCCAGTGTTTTAGAGAAAAACAAATTGAATTCTCCCAGGGAATGTGTCCCCCAGCCTTGACAGTGATTACAACAACCTCTGTTTTGTTATCTTGGATTTAATTACAGTGAATACAGTAATGGAATGTTGTATTATTCCTAATTTCAAGAATCACTAAAAAAAACAAAAACAAAAATTGTTTTGCAGATTTAAATTTATATAAATATCACATATAATATTTCAATAATGAATAATATCAAATAAATAAGTTTTTCATAAAGAAATTTCAAATTCTTTTCCTAACATCAGAATATCATAAAATACATTGTTTAGTTATCTCCCTTCTGGTAGAACCAACAAATGATTACCTGGGCCGTTTTCGTTTATCACAGTCCAAACGGTTGAACCGGTTGGACCACTGTTATTCGTTTATGAAGTAAGGTCAGACCCAGTAATATGATGTTGCTTTCAGGCGAGCCTTGACAAAGCCTTGCAGCGCCTGCATAAACTTTTGCAGGGCCGCCAGGATTTATACCCGAAAATGTTGGGCCGCCAGGATTTATACCCGAAAAATGTTACATTTAAAAACGGACGCATCGGTTGTTCCGCATGAACGAGCAGGCCCCTGGTATACTAACTACATAATAACAAGCTAAAATTTATATTCTGTAGTTTACCGTGTTAAGGACTACAACACCACAAAAAAAATGCTAAAAAAATGGATTCAACTAGAAGCTAAAGTGGTAATTAACCCCCATTCATCATATCATCAAACCATGTATGGCCATTTTTGTTTATCACATTCCAAATAGCTGGACCAGTTGGACCAGATTTGTTCGTTTATGAGATAGGGGCGGACCTATTGATTTGATGCTGTTCAAGGCCTACACTGCATTTACACCGGAAATATTACATTTCTAAAATAGGCAAACTGGTTGGTATGCATAAACGAACAGATCCATGGATGTAGTACTTTTTGTGGTTGCTGGAATGCAAGTAATACAATTTTATCGTATAAAGATACGTATATTTCATAATGTTGAAAATATTTTTTCATCAATATCTGATGAGTTATACTGATTACATATGTTTTAGCTGTGTATCGTAGTTTAACTGGTAGTAAAAAAACAGTTCTGGATGCTTACATTCACTCTACGGTCAAAAGTCAATTTGAATTTTTATTTATTTTTTCTTCTCAAAAATATACCTATAATAGCTAATAAATACATTTTGATTACTATATAAAATTTTACTATGTTTTACCAGTTAACATTCAGGGAATGTATATTCTGCCTTTTTTTACACAAGCTATATTTCTTTTTTCAAATTAAATTTATACAATCTATTCCATAGTAACTAACTGCTAATAAAAGTCACTTCTAAATTCATGTACTGTATTGCTAAAAATAATATAGATGAATGTACAAGGATATAATTTTTCAGGGAACCATTGTTTTAAATTTATAAATATGTAACATGTATTTCGATCTCCCTGAGTCAAAGCACTGTGCAGTAGGGCATGGTTGGTCATTGCTAAATGTGGGGAACTTTTTCTTTTAGATATAGCATGTCTACAGTTATCACAAGTGTCCTTCTGTTAAGGGTGTATGCTACGTGTACCTTAGTGCGACATAAATCCTCTCCTTTCAAAAGAGTTACACATGAACAAGGCACATAAATATTATTGAACTTTCACCTGATAACTTATTTGAAAAGTACACAACAATTAATGACCCATTTGAAATGCACACAATAATTGATGAAACATTTTGAAAGGTACACAGGAATGAAAAATATTTGAAAGGTATGCAATAATGCACACATTGTTTTGCAATAAAATTGGTAATTCTTTATTATCTCTGCCCAATTTAGGAAAAATAAGAAAGAAACACAAATCACACTTCTGATATTGCATGACATACACCCTTAACAAGAAAATGTAAGCATGACAATTCACTGGAAGCTGAATTTCAGTTCACATTATCTAACAAATTCAAATTCATAAAAATATGAAGGATTTAATGGAAAATAAATTTCTTTCAAATTATTAGATTTTTCTGAAAAAGATATATGTACACTATGTTTTACCCAAATAAAAAAAGTTCTCATCTAAAAATTAAACTATCGTTCACAAACTCTAAAGCACTATGTATGGAAACTAATGAATAGTGTATCCCAGTTTTGCGGAAGGAAATATTCTTGGAAGGTCTTTCATCTTCTTAAGTTCTTCGCGACCACTAAGAGACGAAAAGTCATCTGAATAGTTATCACTTTCCAGCGACGGATTAAAGTCTCCGTCAGATGGCACATAGGAGCTAATAGACTCGGTGTGTAGAGATTCACGTTTCAACTCTGTGCGTTTCTCCCTCGTAATCGCCTTTCTAGGTTTAGGAGTCGGAAACCGAGAGCTTGTCTGTGACCTTGGAGTGCCTGTTGGTGAAGGCCTACCCATAGAACCGTCCAGTTTTACCTGTGAACGGCGCAGCGCTGGGATCGGTGACTGGAGTGACGCTTTTGGGTTGATCACCTGGAATCTTGCAGAGTTCATGCTGGCTGTAAGAGGGACTGGAGATTTGGCAGATTTTTCGGAGCTCATTACATCAGATAATTCTGACCGCTCTCCAGAACTCATAAGTCGTTGAAGTTCTGGTTCCTCCGTTGACTGAAACTGGTGAGTACTATAATCCTCTGTGGACTGAAATGTTCGGGACTTTTCTGGCATGTCTGCTTTCTCTCGCCGAGGGGAGATATCCGATTCAAATGAATCATCATTGTATAAGTTATTCGGATCCTCGGAAGATTTACGACTGTGCCATTTCTTTGCCTTTGGTGGAGATGGTTTAGAATTTCGTGTCGATTCCAAAGGTTGGTCAAAGTCATCTTCCTTTAATTCAAATGAATCATTGTCAAATTTATTATCCATGGCTTCCGCTCCAATGGAATCTGGTAAACTTTCATTATCATCGTGAAAGCCAGGGAATCGTCCACTTTTACCTTGTGCCTTTAGCTCTAAATCGCTGAAACTTTCATCATCATCACTTTCTTCGTACATCTGGGCACTTGGAATGCGGACTTGGATGCTTCTCTGACTGGGAAGACTAGGAGAGTCTCGGTCAGAAAGATTCTCCTCTGCACTTTTCGGTTCAACATTTTTAGACCCCTTTAGTTCTGCAGACTTTGATTTTCCCAGGGCTTGTTTTGAACCCCTAGGGGACTTGCTTTGATTTCTAGACTGTTTTTGTTTTCGTCTTGGTGGAGAAATCCTCCTTCGGTTCGATTTTGATGTTGAGTTCATCGTTCCGTACAACATTGTATCTTCAGCCAGAGTATCTTGAAGGTTCTTTTCTGCCAAACGTCTGACCTCTGTCAAGGTATCAGATAAATAACCTGTCTCAAACTCCTGATCCTCTCTAAAACTCTTCTTTAATTTTTGTTTTTGAGTCTTGGCATCATTTTCTTCTTTGTCTACATTTTTTGCCCAATCAGGATTGACTCTTGCTAGCCTTAGCCTTTGTGTATTTGTCAGACCATAAGTTAACTTAGATTTCTTCACACCAAGTTGTGGTGTTTGTCGGAGCCAGCTTCTCTGTCCAGGAACGCCATCATGAGGGTGAGCACATGTTCTGTGACTTTTTCTTCCTCTCTGTCTGGAATCAGGACCTTCCTGGTCAGCGTTTTGATTTTCTTTTTCTACTTGCTGCTGAGTTGCCTGCTGCTTTTGTTGCTGTACACTGGGTACATGTTGTTGCTGCCGTTGCTGTTGTTGTTGATGCTGTTGGGTCCTTGACACAGACTGGACTTGGTGCACAGTCTGTTGAATAAGCTGTGGATTCTGAATGTTTGATATTTCTTGCATCAAAGCTGTTAACAGTGGAAACCAGGCCTGGTCTCCAATTCTGTTTTCTTGAATAGGAATTGGTGGAGGTGGTTGCTGATGGTTCATAAAAGTTACTTTAGCAGCATGTGATTGTTGGTTTCGTAAATATTCTTGCCTTTGACGTTTTGCTTCTTCCTCCTTTTTTCTCTTCTCCATTTCATGTTTATTTACCTGTGATTCAAACTCTTCTTCAGACACCAGTTCATCACTAGATTCATCATCATTTAAAGCATACAGTCGCTGAGTCTTTTTGGCCGGCTCAATCTCACTGTTATAAAACAGAGGAGGAGGTTGAGCAATGTTTGTGATGATGATATCATCGGCATCATCTGCATTCTTAACATCAAGGCCATTCAATTCTGAGTCAGGAGTTGGTTTAGATCTTTTGAATGTTTGAGTAGCTATTGTTTGAAGATCTTTTACCAAAATCCCCTTGTCCTCAGTTGACTTAGATTTGACCTCTGGCTCTGAAATGGCAACATGGATTTCTTTGTCACACATGTTCAAAGTCTGAAGTATGACATCATGTTTTTCTGGGTCTGTCATTGATCCCATTTCCTGTGTAGTCATCAAAGCATCGTCATCCCTCCTAGAATAACCACCACCATCTCTCTTTGAAGGGCTACTAACACTCTTCTGCTGTGGAAGGTTCTGTTTGTGGACATGTTCAGCTTCCACAGACATCCGCTTCGCAATTGAAGACTCTGGTATGTGTTGTATAAGTCCTGGGCCCAAACTCAGAAGACGATATCCGAGAATGATATAGCCGATTTCTTTTCCCATCAGACTGTAGATTTTGTACAGCCCTTTGTCTCCGTGTACTGAAGGTACTGTGGGTCCAAGGGTTTTGACGTCGCTGATGATTAAATCCATCACTTCATCCAAAGGAACTGTACAATTTCCAAGCAATTTGGACACCTTTGGGAAATTGTCTATGACCATAACATACAGAGGAGTATTGGTCAAGTGTGTCTTTAGACTTGATACCGATATTTTGAACAGGCATGATTTACCTTTTTTCATCATGAAATTGCCATGCTTGTCTTTCAACTCACTGAATTGCTCTGGTACATTGTAGTATGGGTCTGTGGATATTTTGTGTCTGATTTTATCTCCAAGTTCTTTTTCAACATGTTCAACCAGAATAGTAGGAAAGTCCAAGAGTCTGAATGCAACAGATGGGAATCTGCAGGCTACATGAGGAATGTAGAGTTTTTCAACCACCAACTCCAGGGAAAACAAGGATTCTTTGTCCATTGCCATTTTGAAAATCCACACACACAAAACAGAAACAAAGGATTTCCCTCGTGGAAAAGGTATTTAGACGATATTAAATTATCAAGGCAGAGTATGCATCATTTGCCGATCATCTGTCACGTTTCCCTGCTAAACCTTTACATGATACAACCTGTATGGTTGTCAAACGTCAAATACACAACAAATCAATGTACATTGGACGCTTTGATAGCATAAGCTTTAATGTCTCTGTGTGCAAACATTTAAACGATCATGAAGCAGAGCGCGCCATTTTGAAATTTGCAAGTCGGAAAAATGTCAGGAAGAAATATGTAAACAAAGTCTATGGTTGCTTATAGTCGCGTTTATATAAAATGCATCAAGGTATATTATAAACAGTTACGATTTTCATATAATTTGTATTGACAAAATGCCTAAAACATTGTCCTTAACGCCTATGATTATGTTGTAAGACAAATCACACAATACACTGAAAAATGTCGACTAATTCACGGTGGAAATTTTTAATGTTTTATGACTATTTCAAATTATTGTGACAAGAAATAGCTTAATTCGGTCTAGCCCCATTTACCAAACGAACCACCATTATCCAATTCAACTTGCACTTCCCAATAATTTTATAATGCTGGAGTCGTCGTGTTGGGGGTACAGACCAGGTCCAGTACACTCTGCCGATTGAGCTATATAGCTGTAAAGACCTATAATAGCTCTATTGACCTATCTGAAATAGGTCTTTTGAGCTATTTTCAAGTGATTTTCTTTTTTAAGGAAAACGGAACAAAGTCGCATTTAAAAGAAGATTGTATCAATATAAGTATTCTTTTAAAAAAAAAAAAATGATGTAAAGAAATCGGAAATTTTACATTTATGAAAAATGAAAATAAACATCTAAATGTATGCTTTTTGTAGTCAACATTACCATTAACCTTATTGTTTTATGCGACTTTGCTTTAATTTAATGAAATTTGAAATCTGAGAAAATATAGCTCAATACAGCTATAATTTATAGGTGTATATAGCTATATAGGTCTTTATAGCTATATGGACCTGCAGACGTTTCGGTAGGCCGAGTTATATTAACTATAGCGGCACTCTTCGAAAGATGTAATGGTACTTTGATCAAAATGACAATATATCTACCGAGCTTAAAACTAACTTATATTCTTTTATATCTGTGATTTTACCCTGTTAAGTCTAGGTTTATTTATTTTTCCCATTACTATTAAGTTATTTAAAATGGTTATGCATATCAATATATATTTATTTATCTAGACTATTTCAGATGTGAGGGTTGCTCAAATATAAGTATGAAATTAGACGAGAATGAATAAAGGCAAACAGGCAACCCTGTTCCAAAGTTGGGGAGCTAAGAAGTCTAAACCTGTCAATTCCCTGGCTGATGACCGTTTGAGGGGTAATGATGGCATACAACCAGGCCCATCTTTGACTGCTGACCACTTGGACATCATAGATCTTTGTGATGGACTGGAAGATGATGACGATGAAGACCTATTGGCACAGGTTTGATTTTTGTCTAGTGGATTGACAAGGAAGATAAATATAAACCAACTACTCCATTCTTAACATTTCATTAATCTTTATTTCATTGAATTGCTTTATTTAAAAGGTTGTTTTGTCAGTTATCATAATATGATCATTTTTTTTTTTGATTTACAATAAAATATTAAAGTTAATTGGAATTGAGAATGTGAGTACATGTACTAGCATGTGCAATAAATCTCACCATCTGAAAAATCAATGAAGAAGACATTTTTATTGTGTACTTGAAATATGTAGAATAAACTGGCACGGATTATATCTTTAGTAGATCATAAAAGTAAAGCACAAATATAAACCTAATACACATAATAATACAGTTATGTTATTTCATTAGGCAATGGACAATGTCGACATGCCAGGGTACAGCGAACCAGCAGTTGGCCCGTCAGCTGTGGTGCCACCTGAAGCAGATGTGTGTAACATATCACTGGGAGCCGAATCCTTTCCAGGTAATGTGTCCTTCACCCAGACAGTGGCTCCCGAGGGGTTTGACAAGTTTGCAGGAAAGACCTGGATATATCCCACTAACTACTCTGTCAGGGACTACCAATTTAACATCTGCCAGCAAGTCATCTACAAAAACACCATGGTCACCCTTCCCACCGGACTTGGCAAGACCTTCATAGCCGCGGTGGCCATGTACAACTTCTACAGGTATTTCAGTCATCATGAAAAGAGGCATTATGGTTCAGTGTTAGAAAGTTCTGCTACTGATCAAAAGCTGAAATTTTAGTTCTGTATAGGGTTCCATGACGGCATTGTTCCATGATAGGATATGCAACTAATGACTAAAAGATTAAAGGTTTGAACAAGAAATTGTGTGATGTCCAGTCTGCCCAGCTGTACAAATATGTTCAAGCATGAGAGGTACATTGAAAGGCTGATGTCCTTCATGTATTACAGGGAAAGTCTATGATCACATACTCTCAGCTCTTTAGAAACTGATCAACAAGCCAGTGTAATCCATATTGCAAGTCATTATGTTAATTGTAACTTTCATTATGCTTCTATTCAAATTATCAAAACACTGGTATAAATAGAAATGTAAAAGATTTCCAATAAAATACTGTTCATTGTATAGGTGGTACCCTCAGGGTAAGGTGGTGTTCATGGCTCCGACTAAACCTTTGGTAGCCCAGCAGATAGAGGCCTGCTACAACATCATGGGTATCCCTCAAGCTGACACTGCTGAAATGACGGGTAAGATCTGCAGTGTTACCTGATAGAAATGTTCACCCAGTGTGGCATTCAAAGTACAGGATAGAGATTGTAAGGTCTACATGGTTATTTGACAGAAATGTTCACCAAAACGTTCAACGATTGTAAGGTTCTACAGTTCAACAATGTTCAATATTTGACAGAAATGTTCATGTAGTGTTGTATTGAAGTTTTAGAGATGATAGAGTCTGCAGTGTTACTTGACAGCAATGATCCCAGCCGATGTTGAACTTGTGAATTAACCTTCTGAAAAATATCACTACATGGTTAGAATAACCCTGTATAAAGTGCACAATTTAAATACTTACATGTAGATGATGTCAGGGTTCTTTAATGACTGTGTAGGTAACATGGCCCCAACAGAGAGGAAGCGTACTTGGATGGAGAAGCGTGTGTTTTTCCTCACCCCACAAGTCCTCACCAACGACCTGAGTCGTGGGACGTGCCCCGCTGTCAGGGTCCGGTGTCTGGTGGTGGACGAGGCACACAAAGCCCTGGGAAACCATGCCTACTGTCAGGTACGCAATAGCTGCACACAACTAGCAAGCAGTGGTCCCAGACGTTCAGGGATCTACTCTTGGAGTCATTGTAATCGATGGGGCCAAATTTTGAAAATTTTCATATCATCACGTAATACAAATGTGATACTCAGTTAAAAGTCACAAAAAATGAATAATGAGTGGAATGTACTGAATCACTGTTACTTAATAAATTTGATGAAAATTGGCGGCTTTGTGAAGTGGCTAAGAGGAGAGAGGCAGGGATTCCAAACACTCATGAACCCCTTCTTGGACTGGCTACTGCCTAGGTAACCACTATATATGATTATATATATTTAATATGTAAATTATGGGCTGATCTATTGGATATACAAGTGATAGGATCATTCCATTTACCTTGTAATTTCAGGTTGTGCGAGAGCTAGTAAAGTACACTGAGAACTTTCGTATTTTGGCCCTAAGTGCTACTCCAGGTAGTGATATCAAGGTAATGTGTTTGTCTTTTCCTCATATGTTTTTCTTTTTTTGTTGTTTGTGTTTTACATAATATTAATTGGCTATGGTCATTTAAGGATGTGCCAGGTTTTTGTGGTGGAGGGAAGTCGGAGTTCCCGGAGAAACACCACCAACCTACGGCCACTTACCTGGCGACTGCCCCACGTAGGTCTCAAACCCGCGGCGACCCAGTGGTGGAGGGCTAATGGTAGCAGAATGTCAGACGCCTTAACCACTTGGCCACAGTAGCCCCTATATAATCAGATTTACCTTGTAAAAATTGCTGAGATGTTGTGTATTGTCTTCTGTTTATGAATTATCGATTGCCATTATATGATGGTTTTGCCCTCAGGGAAGGTGTTTAATATTGGGGTAGCAAATGTTCATGTTACCCTAATACAAGGGCAATACCGGTTTTATTTGTATTATGAAATCCAAAATAGGTCTAGATTGTCACATATCTTTTCTGTGGCACTAAATTAAATATTTGAATTGATTTTCAAAATTAAATTTTGATTTCTTTAGAGTTTAATGTAGACGAAAGTAAATAGTTTTGAATATTATATGTTATATTTCTCAGGGCTCGTATTCATGAAACTGTTCTCATGCTCAAGCATGGATTTTGTGCTCAAACCAACCTTCTTGTAACTCACTTAAATCATGTTATACGATCAAAAAGTTAAATGTAAACATTTAAAACAGTATTTGGCACAAAGTCTCTTCAATTTTTTTCCCCCATATCATTGACAAAATAGGATTTTATCATTAATTTATTAACGAAACAAGAAATTAGGCTTGAACACAAAGTTCATGCTTGAGCATGAGAACGGTTTCATGAATACGGGCCCTGGAGTGTATGAAAGATCACAACATATAAATATGTGGCTGAATACTTGTACAAAGCAGAAAGTCATATATTGTTAAAATATTCTTTCTAACTTGACACAAATGAAAGACATAACCAATGAAATGTTATATGAATGTTAAAAACTTAACCAAATACAGGAAAACTGAAATGAGAGATTAAAGTGTTTCAAGATTTTGTTTGATAGACTTTTCGGCCTGTTACTGTGTTACAGGCAGTTCAGCAAGATTTTGTTTAATAGAGTTTTTCGGCCTGTTACTGTGTTACAGGCAGTTCAGAAAGTTTTTGTTTAATGGAGTTTTCGGCCTGTTACTGTGTTACAGGCAGTTCAGCAAGTTTTGTCGAACCTCCTGATATCCCACATAGAGATTAGGACAGAGGATTCCATTGATATCAAGCAGTTCTCACACGAACGGAAAGTGGAAAAGATCGTGGTCCCTCTGGGTGATGAGCTTACCCTGGTGAAGAAGACATATATACAGGTATTTAGGACAAGCATTGGGAATTATTTACATATATAGAGGATCTGTCATAAGTTTCCCTTCATATTAGATTTATGATACAAGTTTTGGATTTTTCATGTTTGCAAGCCTCTGCCGATTAAATATGAAAAATCACAAACACGTATCATAAATATCTTATATGAAGAGAAACGAATGACAGATTTTTTTTAAAAAGTTAACTGTATAAGTGATCTGAAACGATTATTTTGCACTTGGCCGCCTCTGAAACAATGACAATTGCGTCCGCTTCACAATGATGTGACGTCACATTCATTGTTCCTATTGGATTTTGACATCATTTCCGGATTGATATTACACACGTTACATCAACATAATTTATGTGATGCCTTTATGAAACTGCATAACACAGTATTTATATGATAAATATAGGTATTTAAGACAAGTATTGGGAATTATAGACATATATGCAGGTATTTAGGACAAGCATTGGGAATTATAGACATATATACAGGTATTTAGGACAAGCATTGGTAATGAGTCGAAATTTCTTGATTGATTATCACTTTAGTTAGTGACCAAGAATCTGCTTATGATTGATTGTAACAATTAAAACAATCGTAAAACGTCGAAATACAGGGGCACTTTCACTTATCTGGTTGAAACAATTGAACCTGGAAAGAAAACGACAGGCACAGATATGAACCGAGGCTGACCTCAGGAATATTCGGCACGTGGAGGTTCAGGGGTCCAAATGTACCGGACCGAAACTAAAATGCCGACTATTACTAGTTTGCGTTACTTCTTTCTAAAACAAGGCCAAGGTACATTTATTTTTTTAAGATACGTTGTGTTAATTCAGTGGACGTGTGAAAGAAGGACATAATATTCTTGACATATTTTTATTTATTCTTCGAAACTGTGCATTTTTAGCTCTGCTTATAGAAAGCTCCAAGTGCGTTCGTTTATCGTGAAATATTTCTGCACCACTTGTACCATTTCAACTGGAATGTAGCCCTAGAGTATAAATATGTTCATGTTTCAAAGTATTTATACCACACATTACCAGTATTTCTCTGTATAACATTAAAATAAATGTGAAATTGATCCTCATATATCGTGTCAGTTTATCATGTCAAATTGATCATTGCATGTTTGGTGCATTATGATACGTTTACCAAGAACTTTGCTGAAGGCAAACCTTTAGAGTTACTTTGTATTCTTGCTCTCATTTTCCCAAAAAAAATTACTTTCAATAAACAAGACACACAGGTAAATAGTTAGTTATCAGTATTCATTACTCCTATAAAACCTATTCCTGAGAAAGGTTTTCCTTTTTAATAAAACTTAGTAGGTTATTATTTTAAAATGAGGATACAAACCATTTACTATCCACTAATACTGGACGGCGTCTGTTAAATTTGTGCTAAAACCCTTCTGTTCAACTTGTAAGACCTTGGACTTTTCCTGTATTTCATTTGTCTGTTCTACAGGTCATGGATGTGGTTGTTAACCGACTCAAACGGCAGGGTGTGTTGTATAAAAGGGAGACCACTAGCTTCTCCAAGTTCCTGATTCTGAAGGCCAGAGATGCATTTAGACAGAATCCACCTCAACAAATGCAGGTAGGCTAGAATGGCATTTAGACCAGATTCACCCCACAAAACCTTTAGACATAATCCACTCCTTTAACAGAAGGTGGGTAAGAGAAATTTTGGACAGAACCCGCTCCAACAAGTGCAGGTGGGAAAGAGAAATATTCAGATAGAATTTGTCTCAACAGACATGGGAAGTTTATAGAAATAATTAGACAGAATTCATCTAAGCAAAAGCACCGTTGTCAACATCTATATTTTTAGTCAGAGACTATTATTGACACATCAACTTGTACTGGTACAAGCAGTAGCTCCCAGCCATTACCTCCCATTATGTACCATGTATGGTTGAATTTGCTTGGGTGCACCTTCCAAGTGCGATTCAGGCTAGAGAAACATGTGGGTAGACAAGAGGCGTGTTTATAATCCACTCCTACCAAATTAAATTATAACAGGGAAGTATTCAGACAGTTTAGTCATGTGTCTGTTACAGCGATCACAGTACAGTGCGATGGAGGGTGATGTACGTGTAGTCTTGGTATGACATCTGTTACAGAGATCACAGTACAGTACGGTGGAGTGTGATGTACATGTAGTCATGTGTCTGTTACAGCAATCACAGTACGGTGCGATGGAGGGTGATGTAGTCATGTGTCTGTTACAGCTATCACAGTACAGTGCGATGGAGGGTGATGTACATGTAGTCATGTGTCTGTTACAGCGATCTCAGTACAGTGCGGTGGAGGGTGATGTAGTCATGTGTCTGTTACAGCAATCACAGTACGGTGCGATGGAGGGTGATGTAGTAATGTGTCTGTTACAGTGATCACAGTACGGTGCGGTGGAGGGTGATGTAATCATGTGTCTGTTACAGTGATCACAGTACAGTGCGGTGGAGGGTGATGTAGTCATGTGTCTGTTACAGCGATTACAGTACAGTGCGGTGGAGGGAGATGTAGTCATGTGTCTGTTACAGCGATCACAGAACAGTGCGGTGGAGGGTGATGTAGTCATGTGTCCGTTACAGCGATCACAGTACAGTGCGGTGAAGGGGGATGTAGTCATGTGTCTGTTACAGCGATCACAGAACAGTGCGGTGGAGGGTGATGTAGTCATGTGTCCGTTACAGCGATCACAGTACAGTGCGGTGAAGGGGGATGTAGTCATGTGTCTGTTACAGCGATCACAGTACGGTGCGGTGGAGGATGATGTAGTCATGTGTCTGTTACAGCGATCACAGTATGGTGCGGTGGAGGTTAATGTAGTCATATGTCTGTTACAGCGATCACAGTACAGTGCGGTGGAGGGTGATGTAGTCATGTGTCTGTTACAGCGATCACAGTACAGTGCGGTGGAGCGTGATGTACATGTAGTCATGTGTCTGTTACAGCTATCACAGTACAGTGCAATGGAGCGTGATGTACATGTAGTCATGTGTCTGTTACAGCTATCGCAGTATGGTGTGGTGGAGGGTAATGTAGTCATGTGTCTGTTACAGCGATCACAGTACAGTGCGGTGGAGGGTGATGTAGTCATGTGTCTGTTACAGCGATCACAGTACAGTGCGGTGGAG